AGAAAACAAGTGTTAGAATTTTGTCTCCAATGGGAAGGTGTCAAAACCCTTTTGACTTTATCTACCATTTGCAAATCAACCAAAAATATAAAATAGGGTTTGCATCGTACATCCTTGAAAACTGCTCACTTCATAAAATACATGAAAAGAGGAACTTTTACGTGCTTCGTCAGTTACAAATTAGGTTCGGTGTGATTTTTAAGATGATATTCAATCGATTTCGATTTCCATTCGTAATACTTTACCAATGTACTTCCAAAACTAAACACGCATATTATATTATTTATTATTTTCTTTAAAATATCCAATTTTATACTGTGGATTATTATAATTTTGAACTTCATTAGTTAATTTTTTATTTTGGGGCTTGGCCTATGTATACAGTAAGTTGTTTTATTCTATTCATTGAATGAGTTATTTGAAGTTGTACGTGCCATTTAACTCAATACCTCAAAAAGAAGAAGTAATAACGTGCCTTAAATAAGTTTTATAATTAAGATTTCAACTAAATCATTTCATTTTAATTTAATTTAATTATTTTTTATACTTTAAATTATTGAATGTATTATTTATATCCTGAAAATATCATGGCAATAACAAATATTCTGGAATATCAATATAAAGTAATTGAATATAACATTTTAAATTTACTATAACATTTAAATCTAAGTGTAAATATAGTGTAGTCATTTCCTCAGTAATTGTTATACTGGATATTTAAATGGTATGAAAACTGTTTTATATTCGTCATTATTTTAAGTCATTTTAAATTTCAATAGTTTGCATGTAATTTAATTATTTTTTATTCAAAATATATATGTACTATATAGGATCCGCTGACAAGAGACTGAAGAGAGACGATCGGTCAAAGACGTGAGNTATTTGAAGTTGTACGTGCCATTTAACTCAATACCTCAAAAAGAAGAAGTAATAACGTGCCTTAAATAAGTTTTATAATTAAGATTTCAACTAAATCATTTCATTTTAATTTAATTTAATTATTTTTTATACTTTAAATTATTGAATGTATTATTTATATCCTGAAAATATCATGGCAATAACAAATATTCTGGAATATCAATATAAAGTAATTGAATATAACATTTTAAATTTACTATAACATTTAAATCTAAGTGTAAATATAGTGTAGTCATTTCCTCAGTAATTGTTATACTTGATATTTAAATGGTATGAAAACTGTTTTATATTCGTCATTATTTTAAGTCATTTTAAATTTCAATAGTTTGCATGTAATTTAATTATTTTTTATTCAAAATATATATGTACTATATAGGATCCGCTGACAAGAGACTGAAGAGAGACGATCGGTCAAAGACGTGATGACAGTAGATTGGCCATTTGGAGAAAGTGTCGGTCTGGTAAGCACACTAAAGGACATTAATGGATAATTAATTAGTAATTACCGTATCATATGCATATATATTACATTTATGAATGATTGGTAGGGTATATTATTTGGGATACACTGAATATATAATTAACGAATTATATTACATAAAAATATACTGCATTAATGGACATTTAATAGGTTGAACAATTACAAAGCCTATAAATGCAAGGTGAATGATTAGGTAAGATCATCTTATTCCAGAATCACATTGAGACCTTTTGACACCTATCTGAGTTGAGCGTGTGGTTCTCATCAGAGAAGAAGGAGCATTTAGGAGAAGTATTGACATCAGACCCCATTCGACAGAAACAATATATATATTAAAATTAATTGAACTAGTTCATCATTTCATATTTCAAAATCATATATTTAATTTATCGTAATTTTTTTTTATTTTGTAAACATAAATTTCTCATAGGTTTATAAATAGCTAAATAAGATATATGCATTGGTGAGTTAATAATCAAGTATAAGTTCACGTATAGCAAAGTCAAATGCCAATATATATTAAAAGTGTATGTCTAAATTCTTTGAGTTTGCTGAATATTTTTGGTGCCCTTTCTGATTTAAGATTCTATTCCTTGATAAGAGTTCATTATTACTTTGTTGGCAATATCAAATGGCAATATCCTATAAATATGTTGAAGTGATTTTTGTTTTGTTTTTGAATAGATAGTAATGTTGTCAAAATGGATCACCCGGCTCGGTCTACTACGAGTTGGTCACTTAGTGAGTCAACCTAACTCGACTCATTTATTAGCGAGACAAAAAAATTCAAACTCGGCCATTCACCACGGATTGGTGGGTTAAACAGGTTGGCTAACTTAATTACAATTTTTTAAAATAAAAAAAATTATAAACTTTTTGTAATTCAAATCTAAATAAATTTTACTCCCAACATGATGTTAAACTCAAGAAAATTTAAAATAATAATAAAAAGTACAATACAATCCACGTATAATAAATTAGATGATATTTTCTAAGATTTCATAAGATAATAAATTAATAAAATAAAATAAAATAAAGTAGGTTGGTGAAACAACACGACTCACCACATATTTAACCTGGATGAACCGAATTTAAATAAACGGGATTAAAAATTGATCAGTAAAAAAAATACATTTTTTTTAAATCGAACTCGATCAGAACCGAATAATGACCATGACCGCGGATTGTAATTTTTTTGACAGCTCCTGTACATATACCTAACGGTCCTAAATGTTAGAAAAGGGTTAACAAGGTGGAAAGGCTTCGATATTTATTTTTAGTATTTTTGGGAAGTGTGACATTAATATGATCGATCTTGTTAGCAATACGAACCTACATCATGTCGATTTTAAAATGCATGAAGGTGTCGTTAAGGAGGTTAGGAGACCAGAGAAAGTTTTTGTGGAAGTGAAGACAGTCAAAAAGAAAAATTAATTAGGTGAGATAAGAAAAAATTTGTTAGCTTACATTGAGCAATTGGTTAGGAAACAAGAACATCAAGTTTTGTTTTTGTCAAATAAAAATGGAAGCTAGCTAAAGTTAAAGGATAAGATGAAAGAGGTTGTTATGTAAGGAATTCAGTGTGAGTTTTACGTTTGTTAGATATAACTAAAATGAGTAAATATATGGAGAAAAAATTCTAAATTTATTATTTTAAGATTTTGGATTAAAGTGGTACATTGATATTTTATATGGGTTTATGTATAAATTTATTAGCTTTAATGTCTCTCTTCAAAGAATCTAAAAGCAATGTTGATGACAATGCAACTATGATATAAAGTATGTGAAAAATCCTTTGATGATTTCTTACATCAAAACTTTTTTCTTAAGGAAAGTTCATCTCATTGTAAAACAACGATCCAAAGAAAGAGTAGTTATTAAGAGAATCATGGTTAAAAAATATTTCCTCTCAAAATAATGTATTTCAACATGAAACTAAAAAATAAACCATATATTGTTAGGAATTCAAAGTTAATCGAAAATCCTAAGTTGAGTAATATGAGCATAGGAATAGAGATCCATTCATTTATTCTCTTAAAATTTTAAATTGAAGTAATGTTTTTATTCTTATCTGTATGTGTTTTATATAAAATGATATAATAATACTCATATTATGCATGTCCTTACATGATACACTTATTGACATACATATATTTGTATGATGTTGTTATCTAGTATAACTAATTGTGTATGATAATACTTAATGTGATATTATGGTTTCACTAATAATTACATAAATTAAAACATCAAGCAGTGAAAAATGAAAAAGAGACTTATACATCATACTATTTTTAAGTAGTCACACCCAACAATTTTTACATAAATAGTTGAGTATGATTTTTTTTTCTAACATAGTTTGAATGAATTAGGATTAATATTCAGTAAGACATACTTAATATAAATATCTTGAAAAACATCCAATAATATTTTCTATAATAACAAAAAGAATAAGCAGAGCTTAAATCTTTTTCTCGTAAAATATTCTTGTTTATTTATTTATTCTGTAAAGAAACCTTATGTTCTTTTTGTGTTGTGTGTATTATTGTAGCAAATGAAGGTATTAATTGTATATATTTTCCAGGCTAGTATAATATGTTTATAAGGGTGCATGCTCAAAATACAGTAGGATTCTATTATTGTTGAGTAAGTTTCTCCTCCCAAAGATTTTTTAAGAAATAAATAAATGGATTTTTCTAAAAAATAAAATTATCTTAAATAATGATGAAAAATATAATTTAGAAAACTGCTATGAAATTTCACTTATGTTTCAACTTTAATTTCATTGACTTTTAATATCAATTCTTAAACAATGTAATATTATTCAAAATATTGTTCACTTTAACATTGAATTTTTTTATAAAAAGAAAGATATATATTTAAATTACTTTTGGCCTCAACTCTTAAAAATATTACACTATTAGATGTTGAAAGAACTTCAATTTTTTAATATTTTTTTTCTCTTAAAAACCACTTTAAATAATTTTCTACACAAACGCTATGTACTATTCAATTCATAGACAACGTAAATCCCATTTAATGCCCCATATTATATTCAAGAAAGCTTAATAAAATAGTAAACTTATAAAATTATTACAGGACAAATTGTGTTTGATTTTGGTAAATTTATAAACTGGGCGTTTATTGGAGATAGAAATTAGGCAAACAAATAACAGTTTTAAAGCGACATATGTTCAAAAAAAAATTATCAAAATCTACTCAAGGCATACAGAAACACTACGAAATATGTATCCATAAAGGAGAACAAGTAAGATTAAAAGTGCATGAAAAAAATCAAGAAATAAAATGCATTCAGTTAAATAAAATAATTAAAAAATATATTTACAAGTTTCAGTTCTTATCATTATAATATACTAATATGATATTTATAGACAAAAAAAAAACTGTACTATTCATAATCAGTTTTAGTAATCTTCATCCGTGGATAGTTTTAATCTTTAATCATCAACTATGATGCTATAAGATTCTTCAAATATAAGATTCTTTATTCAACCCTGAATGTTAGAGATAACAATTATATCTATGCGTTTTCCGTTTATTTCAGGGTAGGATGCGAATGACATGAAAAATAATAAATCACTGTAAGTGCGGATTAACTTCTCCACAGGCCTAGAAATGTAGATTTACCCTTATTGCAGGGGAATGAAATAGAAGTATATTACTTATTATACATCTACATAGATAAATACAACAATGGTAATGGCAAGTAAGCAATTATCTTCGGACCAATCCATTTGGTAAGATATTTCTTATCTTTTTCCCAAACACAATATATAGAGCCGAACCAACCAGTGGCCAACTAGTGGTAATAGCAATATAAACTAGCAACCAGATGGACCATTGATTTTGTCGAGATAACTGGCCTAGGTATATTTTGAATGATCTCATTATATTCGCTGCTGCATCCTGAGCACTACCTATTTGAGCAATGGCTGGCGAACCTACAGTCTTTGCATTAGTCTCAAGCTCATCTCGTTTAACTTCTTCTGGAATCATCTTTAGATCCTCATTATGTGTATCCTGCATTACCTGTATTTCTTCTGTATTCTCATTTTTTAGCTCGTTGTTCAATGCAGCCACCATTCCATCTTCGGTAACATTAACATAAGGGCCCCGATCAATTGATGTGCCCAATGGTGTGTTTGGTTTAGGAATCTGCAACAGAAATAGAAAAATAGCACTTTCAGCCACTAGAAATGCTCTGCTTAGCACTCCAAGTAAAAATTACTTGGTCTACCAAAATCCTAAGTTACATTTTCTAATTGAGATACCAAAACGTTTGAGACCATTACCCAACCAGAGAATGAATAAACATTCAATGGGAAAAACAAGTGACTAAAATCTACCGTTAGCACATAGTTACCTTCTTCTGTACATGCATAAAATTGCTGGTGTGTAGTTCACCAAGGAATTCATTAACGGCTCTTACCCACCTGCGAGAGGGAAACAAATTGCTCTTCATTTTCTTTATAACAAGAATTCAGTTGATGTCGTGAATATTGTAGTGCAACTTTAATCAACGAATGATATAGATGATATTAGAATGTTGCAGACAAAAAAATGTTGCAATGATCGAGGGACAGAAAACTACAAAAGTTGGCAAGATCATGTAAGAGAATGCTGAAGAATCAGATGAATAAAAATAATTAAGTACCACAGGCTAGATGCAGTTATCCCTTCGAAGAATGCCAGATGTCCTCCGTGCTTCACAGTAGCCAAGACAACATTTTTATTTGCCCTATCAAAATAGTGGAAGCAATAAATTGATGTTGAAGTAATGCAAGAAAAATCATATTAATCAGAACCTAGGAAAACATTAAAGCAGTGTACCTGCATTCATCCCAGGGAATGGCTTCCCTGGTACAGACTGGATCATCCAGAGCACTAATACAGAGAAGCGGAATCGAAACAGATTGGACATAATTAGAACTGCTGCAGCGTCTGTAGTACGTATCCACAGTCTAAGAAAACAAAATTAGTTTAGTTAACCAATGTGAATCAAAACGAAAGATAAGGCAAAATAATAGAGTACTACATACCTCATACTTCCCAACAATGCGGGTGGCATGATTATCAAAATCTCGAATGGAAATAGACTGCGAAGCACAAGATTGTATATGCACACATGATTGGATAAAATTTAAGAACTTACAAAAAACAATAAAATGAGGCACATAACACTTAAGAATGTTTACGTGAATAAACTAGTTGACCTCTAACATTAACTTCCATCATTCAATCATTTGAATAAACCCCTTCCATGTATCTCCCTTGTTTACTACTCCTACAAAGTACACACTAGTAACTTGCCTCGGTACCACAATAAATGGCTAATAAATCATTAAAATTGAGTGATTGGATTAAACACGCCTGCATCATACAAATTTTAAATAACTGCATTCTTTTTTCAGTTTTAATTAACTGCATGCCTTAGTTTTATGATTTGTAGTAGTAAATACGTATTATAGAGAGTAAAGGGCACCTTTTCTATCCCTTCCCAATTAGCAAGGCGAGAAAAATGAGGCTGGTGTCTGCAATGAATATTTGTAATGATATAAATATAAATTAAGTTACATTGTGAACTAGAGGAACTTCGTAGTTTTGCAACAACTCTTCGTATATGAAGAGCTCTATAGAAGAAAAATCAACATATTTAAATTCTACATGAAAGACAAAAACATACAATTTTGCATAACCTTGAAGTCCAATTGCAAGTGCTTTATCATAAAACTTCTGCACACGCCTACGGGTTATAAATCTATCTCCAATCTGCAAATAATAAAAAGGTGATCAATTTTTTTCTTAAGGTAAGTAACAAACAGAATAAAGAATACTTCAAACTTACAGTAATGTGGAATTGGTGCAAATTCAATAAAAATCCATTGATCACGTCATAAATTATATAAAACAAAAGCATTTTTTTACCAAAAAGCATACACACCTTGTACGCTGAAGTCCTAGTCATGGAAGCACAACAATGTTATATACAAAAAGGTCTAAACAACAATATGAAAAAAATCAGCTGAAGAACCAGTTCAAAATCAATGAAAAGTAGTTTGAGTCAATCATCCTTTTGACTTTTAATCAAAATATTTTACAGAAGAAATAAATTAACATATAAAAGGTCCACGAATGATGCACAATAATTAGCCTTTTATTATTGAGTTTATCTTGTAGGATACGTAATGTAACTATGTAAATTTAAAAGTCTAAGATAGTTTATTATGTACTATGTAACATTACATTCAAATTATATTTAGTTGTCATTTGGTTTAACAATGTATGAACCAACGATAATCAAGGTATGCTTTTGTTGGTTCATGTACCAATATCGCTTTTAAAACACAGCTAAAAATAGACCCAACTTAATTTTTCAAATCAAAATACTAACCAAAAGGTCCCAAGGAGAACAAACAGCTACAGCTCCAGCTACAGGAATATTCTCCCCTTCCTCACCAAGATATTTTATCTGCAAACAATCTTCAAAATCAAACAGTGCAGTGAAGAAACTAAGTTCATTAAACGTGTAAGAATAAGTTACAAACTGTACGATTCCTAGTTTTGCTGTAGTTTGAAAAGCAGGCAGACCATGTGCCAATGGTTACAATATAAGTATTACAAAAATTTTAAGCATTAACACAGGAGTTGCAATTCATAAAGTTACGGAACCAGCGTGATGTTCTTAATCCTTTCACAAATATTTTTTTACAGTGGTTCTCTAGATGATTATTTATTTCTCACGTCTTAGAAACTGGTACATGTTTGGGTTCTCTAAAGTCACCTTCTATAGCAATAAGAGAATCCACAGTACATGGTTGCTTAAATGGATTGTTTAGCTCAATTTTGTGAGTCTTCAAATGCCAGATAGATTTAATCACTAGCCATTGAAATTCACTCCAATGGTAAGTTGTTCAATCTAATTTTGTGGATCCTACAATTGAATCTTTTTTGTCGTGATTTCTTTTGAAATCTGGGTTGTATTGTTTTAATTTGATTGAGTTTTGATCTTTTTAGTTTTCGTTGTACTTTCTGTTTTGTTTTGACAATATCTCTCTTTTGCAGCTTTTTTTTTGTCCAGAAAGTTGTAAGCAATGCTGCTTATACCAGCACCAGTGCTTGTGCAAGCAAGATAGCTCATACATTCATCACTAAAAAAATTTAAACAAAGGTGTTTAGCATAAACCAACCCCCTTAAGCACTCTCATTGGAGATGGTCTAACTCAACAGATATAATGAACCACATTAAGTTTGAACATTAAGTCCCACTAAGATTTACATATGAACAAGGAGACATTAATATGATAATATCTACCCCTGAGAATAGTTTTTTATCAAAGATTATGCTAAAGCAATACAAGAAATTAGGAAAAATTCATCATCTACGACAACGAGAAAGCATAGAGGTCAATAGGGTGGAAAATTATACCAATGACTGAACAATTTTTATCAAATATGATACTAACCAGTACGAGGAAGTGTGAAACCAGAAAGGAATCAGTTGTTCCTTTATAGTTGTCATAAATGGCACTTCAAGACGTATGTGATACAGAAATTTATAGCTTTAGATCATATGATGTGATTAATTAAATTAAATAATCAAGGTTCATTTGTTTATGCCTTTTCAAAAGAACACAAACTATTTAATTTTTAATGATGTGTAAGTAGAGCGCGAGACTAGGTGCAACAGTTCAATGGTTTAAAAATCCTAAGAAAAATCTCTCCACTTGCAGGGATAAGGCTACATACAACTATCCTCTCTAGACCTTATTTGATGGGATGGGAGGCTCCTGAACCTCCTATTATTTTAAATTCTTAGGGGAGAAAAGAAAAACCTCAGAAAGAAAAGTGTCTTTTTTCACAAAAAGTTAAAATAGACTATAGAAAAAGTTATACACATGACAAACGCATTGTTTCAACTTTAAACAATCTCAAGCAAAGAAATTACCAGAATATTAGCTCCAATGCTAGTGCCAACAACAAACAAAGGAGCTCTGGGGTTTTCTCTATGTAGATAACTAACCACTGTGCGTACATCCTCAGTCCATCCAGCATTGTAGAAACAATCAGACTGAAACGATTTTAATAAAAAACTGCATTTACTGGAGGAAACAATTAAACAAGAAAACTAATACACCACAGTCACCACAGTATTGAAATGAAAAATAATCCTAATATTCTGACAAAAAGTAATGAAAAAAGTAAGGACAGTTTTCAGTTGTTGGCTCTCCTATGTTTAAATTGTTCGTCCTTAGGATCAGTTTTGTTTGAAGTATTTTCAAATTTTCATTTCCACTTTTCCCTAACAATTACAAAATGTCATCTTATTTCCTGTGTAAAAGGAAATTGTTGTCTTCACCAATTTGGTAATACCANCGCGAGACTAGGTGCAACAGTTCAATGGTTTAAAAATCCTAAGAAAAATCTCTCCACTTGCAGGGATAAGGCTACATACAACTATCCTCTCTAGACCTTATTTGATGGGATGGGAGGCTCCTGAACCTCCTATTATTTTAAATTCTTAGGGGAGAAAAGAAAAACCTCAGAAAGAAAAGTGTCTTTTTTCACAAAAAGTTAAAATAGACTATAGAAAAAGTTATACACATGACAAACGCATTGTTTCAACTTTAAACAATCTCAAGCAAAGAAATTACCAGAATATTAGCTCCAATGCTAGTGCCAACAACAAACAAAGGAGCTCTGGGGTTTTCTCTATGTAGATAACTAACCACTGTGCGTACATCCTCAGTCCATCCAGCATTGTAGAAACAATCAGACTGAAACGATTTTAATAAAAAACTGCATTTACTGGAGGAAACAATTAAACAAGAAAACTAATACACCACAGTCACCACAGTATTGAAATGAAAAATAATCCTAATATTCTGACAAAAAGTAATGAAAAAAGTAAGGACAGTTTTCAGTTGTTGGCTCTCCTATGTTTATTGTTCGTCCTTAGGATCAGTTTTGTTTGAAGTATTTTCAAATTTTCATTTCCACTTTTCCCTAACAATTACAAAATGTCATCTTATTTCCTGTGTAAAAGGAAATTGTTGTCTTCACCAATTTGGTAATACCATAATTGTTAATAAAACCATTTTCTTGGACTAAACAGATACTTTAAAATCTTCGTAGTTACTGACTTACGGCTATTTAAGAGCTCTTTTTTCTGGATATGCAAATAGTTTGGCCGGTTTTCCCTACCTACTGATCTTAATTAGCCAGCTTATTAACCTTAAATTTTAATAATGGTAGTAGGAAGCCAAGCTTAGATTAGAGATATATGACCAATCCAAGTCTTCATTAATAACTATCAATAATTTTATATTGATTTAGATTCGTATGGGTCAGTACTAAGTACGATATATATAGCAAATAGTCTTCAAGTATATCGACAGTATTCAAGTTATTTCTTGACATTGAATTAAAAACCTGCTAACTGCAGAAACACTAACCGTGATTGAAACACCTCCAAGTCCTCGGTGATTACTGATAACAACTTTCCATCCACACTTTGCTGTATGGTATGCAAGATGTTTGAGATACTACCAAGAAGGGGGAGGATAAACGTAAAACAAACTGTAAGGAGGCAATCTAATATAAAATGAAACTTCAAATCTACAAAAAGATGAAAATTATAAATTATAACTATTTTATAAGGGTATATATAAGCCAGAGTCTAGCATACTTCACGTCGAACAGAATAAATTAACAAATTATAATGATTGTGCGGGACACTTTCTCCATTTTGACAAATTAGTACTATTCAAGGAAGAAATGTTTTTAGCAATAACACCCCAGCATCAACCTAATATTGCTCCTGGAAGTCCAGTTGCACGTGGAAAAACTTAATGGCTGGCCAAGGCTTTTGTTGAGGATTTTAATGTGTGACATTATGTTGTGTGCGTTCTCAATATGTATTAGGCATGCATAAAAAAGGTAAAACATATATTCTGAATTTGTGAAAATTGAAAAACCTCAACCAAAAATTCAAATCAAAACATTCACCTCATAGCCTAAAAAAATTGAGGATTGAACTTGCAGACTGAATTGAGTATTGGACAACCAAGCATTTTTTCTCATAAGGTGGAGTAGCTACTTGAATCAAACAATGTCTTAAGGGTGCTCACAGGTATGGATACTCGTTAACCCAAACCGATCCAATCCAACTCAAATACTTTTAGGTTTGGGCATTTTTAGTGTTTTAGTCAAACTCAACCATCCTCAATCCCTCAATCGAACCCATTGTTCGTTGAGTCGGGTATTGGCTTTTTGATGTTGAAACCCATGAACCCAACCCAATCCATCTTTTACATAATATAATTTTAATTTTAATTTATTATTTGTATGCTTTATAAAAGATAAAGATTGAGGAAAATCACATATATTAAACATCATTTTCTTCCTTTCTTGTCCTAGTCTCCTTACCCAAACATTCCTTAGAGCATCTTGAGTGGATAACTCATTCATGGGTTCTTAAACTATCTTTTGTAAATCCTAGATTTTCCATGTCATATTTAAAAATTCTATTAGCATTTTACTCCAATTGTAAACTCAATATTCTCTATAATTTCTGGTTTTTGTAAAAAAAGGAATTTTTTTTTTATTTGTAAGAATTCATTATGGGAGACAAACAATTTTTATAGTGTCAAATTCCAACAACAAACGTCATGAAAAACAAGTTCCTAGCTTATGAACTTATGTTTACTCACTTTTGCATCAATTTTTTTAATTTAAGATTTGATTTAATTTATTTAGATGCACTATTCAATAAAAATACATTTAAAATATAATTATTGGAAAGTTATCAAAATGAATTAGTAAAAGAAAATTATTATTTTGTATACTGTAAAATCATTTTTATCTTTTGGATTCCTATTGACCCAATCCACTATAAATCTGGTTGGTTTAGTTTGAATTTGGTATAGAAATGACACATGACGGTTGTTTGTTGAGCCTATTGTGTCACCGCTATCGAATTACTCATAAATATCAAATCTCACTTGAGATATATACGTCTCATAAATATCAAATCTCACACTTGAGATATATATGCCTTGTTGTAATGGAGTGTTAGAAATCCTAGATTCACCAAGAGATAAAACAAATTTAAAATATCTAAATGGATGTAAATCTCACTTAACGTTAGGTTGAATTAAAGTTAAAGTTCACTGTCCTAATTAGTGTTGCCTACAGAACAATGATACTAAAACAGCACTACATAAACATAACTACCATCTACCAAGACATAAACTAGAAAGTTTACAAGCCCTGACCAAGCAGTCAATTAGCTGCTCACAGGGAAGGGACAGGTACGTGGTTGTTTCCAAATTCCAACTAAGTTATATAGTGAGGGAAGTAACAACAACATTAAGAATACTCGCAAACTGAAATTAAAGACTTACAGCGGATGAAGAGTCACTTGTTAGACCAGGAATTACTACAACAATGGGAGTGGATTCATCTTTACAAACAACACCCTCCACATGGATAGCGCCAGCAGAAACTGTGCCAAGACAGGACACATGAGCATGTATGATCAAACCCTGGAACTGTACATAACTGGTATCCAATTTAGTTGGAATCATATGGGATATACTTGGATATCATATTAGAATGTGTGTTTGAGAGTGGTTCCTTTTTTTTCGATAGACTCCTCTGGAAACATGTTTAATCCAAAATTTATTTGATCCTAAGAGTCAGTCACTAAGTATGCAGGCATTATGAAAAGAGAACTAAAAATAGGAAGATTCGATATACTGTAGTACCGTCGGAACTCATTAGCCAGTCCAAAGCAACGGTTCCACCATCAGGGGTAGTAAACAGTTGTCTGAAAGATAAGAGAGCATAATAAGCTGAATGGTTAAACGAAAGAATCCAATAACCCAATCACAGGCGCAGAATTGAAGAAAGAAGGGCGGAGAGGACCTTCGGTATTTGAAAAAGGGAGGCCGACCGAAGAAGTTGAGGAAGACGGTCTGGAGATGGGGACTGGAGAGCCAGGGCGTGGCGAGGTAGGAGCCGTGGAGAATCCTGCATTTGGAGACGACGGCGTCGTAGACATCGGAAGCGGGATGAAAGGTTAGGGCGACGGGGGAACCGGTGAAGAGGGAGAAGAGGTCTTGGAGGAAATGGAACTCGAGAAAACGGTAGAAAAGGACGATGAGAATGAGAGAGGCGAAGAGGAGGTAGTGGCATATTGGAATGAGAGAGAGCGCCCGAAAGAGGAGACGGTACGCGGATGAAGAAGAAGACCAATCCAAATCCATGGAAGAGGCGAACTAACCGAGGAACACCACCGATTATTCAATTGAAATTCCACAATGCTGGTTAGTTACTCCTTCTATTGATTAGATCAGAGGGCAGAGAGGGAGAGAGAAAGGAGAGTACCATACTGTAAGGAAGCGCGGCGCGTGAAATTAGCGACCATTCCTGAACCTCCACGTGACCCCATGCCGTGCATCGTACACGCCCTCGTTCACAAAATCCATAATTTCCACGTTTAATTTTATTTTTTTAACTTTTAATCATCTGTAGTTTTGATCTTTAAGTTTCTTTTTATGAAATTTTAATTTTTTAATCGTGACTGTACTTTAAGCATGGCGTAATGAGATAAAAGAAAAACGCATGATAATTTTATACTAACCATAGAGTAAAATATTCGTAAATTTTTGTATTGTTTTAAGAAAAAAAGAAAATAAAATATAAGTAAAGATAATATAAATGAACAGTAAAAAATTTAGGTATCTCAAATAATTATTACTCTAATCTTATAATCTTGAATCTAACATTAAAGAAGCGGAACTAATTGAGATTCCACAGTTATTCAATATATTTTTTTACTGCATATTAAATAAAGCTACAGATAATTAAAAAATAGAGAATTAAAATTGCATGCTACAGATAATTAAAAAATAGAGAATTAAAATTGCATGAGGGATGAAATTATGGATACTTAAGAGACTAAAATTGTGGGGGGAAATTAAGGAGAAAAATTGTAGATTTTATAAGATTGAGGCCAGCAAATAGTGGTTTCGTGTTCAAAATGGAGCTGTTCTTAATCCACTTCCATCTTCTATGATGAAATTCATGGGATCGTTGAAAACTCTAACTTCATTCTTGTCATAAATAAGCCACCAGTATCTACCTAGAGAAGAGTATACTCAGCTATATGAAATACGAAAAATCAAAGCAAGCTTTTTGTGTACATCCGAATTATTATCATTTTGAAGTTTTATCTTTCACATCTTTAAAAACCATCTTAAAAGATGGAAGAACAAAAAAATATATAAACTATTTTAGCTCTGGACTCTTATAAGACTATTGACATAATAGAACACTTTGGAAAATAAAAAGAAGTTTGAAATTAAAGCATTGCAATGATGGAGATTAAGTTTAGGTATGATATTAATTTCATGGTGCTTAGGTTTAGGTTTGATTATTGATAGATGTATTGTATGGTGATATAATCAAGTACCAAATTTTTGGGAGTATTATTTCCTTTTGTTTATTTTTTTTAAGCTCTGATAATTTTGAAGACTGCCATGTATAGCACATTCATCAAATCAAAATGCATTATGACTATTTGTTTGTTTTCTTTTCAGATAATTATCTAATTAAAGTTTGTTGGGATAAACTTAAATTTTAGGGATTCATTAAAATTTTGATAGAGATAAAATAGATATAGGTAGTTTTGATTTTCCTTTTATTTACGAAAGTATTATTTTATTTTATTAATATAAGATAGAGATAAATTAGGTAAATTTTATTTTAAGTTAGTTGATATTCTATTGTTAGTTTTATTTATTTGTACTTGGCCCCCCTATTTGCACCTATTTAAAGGTTGTCGAGGTTCAATGAAAAATAACCCCAGTGAATTGAAGAATATTATTATTTATGTGGGTCACGTTTTTCCCAACAAAGCCGATGATTTCTCTTTGTGACTGGCTCAGACGAGTATAATGATCTCTATACCAAAAGTCTTCCTGGCAAAGGGTATCCAGGTAAGACAGCGGTTGGAAAGGGCTACTCGTAGTTGGGGTTTGTTGGGAATGCTTCCGCTGGAAGGAGAATTTGAAAATTTGAAGGAGAAAGTGGTAGATCAACTCGGCAGAAATGGAGAGTCGTTGCCTGCCAGTCGAGTTGTGGAGAAGAGTTTGAAATCATTGATAGATGATTTCGAGAGTTTTGTGTGCGTCGTCGAGGAGTCGAAAGACCTATCAAAGCTCATGGTTGAAGACTTTGATCAGGTTCTGGAGGCGTACCAGCAGCGGAGATTTTAGCCATTAGTTCAAGTGCTTCAGGAAAAGTTTCACCTGAAGGGGAGCCTATTGAAGGAAGGAAGTGTTGGGAAAAAACGTGACTCACATAAATAATAATACTCTTCAATTCACTGGGGTTATTTTTCATTGAACCTTGGAAACCTTTAAATAGGTGTAAATAGGGTCTTAGGCCAAGTACAAATAATAAAAGCTAACAATAGAATATCAACTAACTTAAAATAAAATCTACCCACGAGACTCATACCATGCTCATATTCCTCAACTCATATTATACCATTACAAAATCTCCCCATAACACTCATATCATGTTCAGATGCATAAATTCAAATCCAATATAATAAAATACAATCATCACAAAAATCATACAAAATGAATATATCACAAAATAAATTAACAATACTAAATATCACCATAAATGGTCACCGGAGAAGAATCAAATGTTTGACGAATCAAACTCACCATAAACGTCAGTACATATGACTAGTCACAACTTACTGGATTTGACCAGGGCTGCTCTATGATCAGGGATGTACTAACTTCGGTTTTTAAGATTCCTCTATCCTACCATCACAATTATAACCTTAATATAAACGATATGGGGAACTAAGGAGTTGAATCTGGCATAGCCGGTTAGACATCTTCTTATCCTTCCAGAAAGATGAATCCATCATATATTTTATATCAATTGAGTATATTGCATAATAGTTTAACCGTACTTAATCTGTTCAATAGGATTTAAGTTAAAAACCTATCGAGTAGACTTCCAGGAAAGAGAGGTGTGTNTGTAAAATGTTTACAGATCACCCACAACTCAGTCTCACTTAACAATTCGAGACAAGAGAGACATAAAATGGGAAGAAATAACATTGTTTCTTTTTTTTTTTTCCTATTTGATATTAAACACCCTAAACACACAAATAACAAAGCAACCAACCAAAAAAATATATGGCTTAAAAATGTTGAATGAGTTGAATCGGAAATTCATTGTTATAATTACCGTATTACATCATAGAAAAAAGATGAAACCTTAAGAACCAAAATACAGAAAATACGCTTAATTGCATTACTGTTTGTCATAGTCTATATAAATAACATGCATGGACTATAAATCAAATGAAAAATTAAAACCTCAAGTGTCACAAACATGGCATGGCCCATGTGCAGAGAACCAGTAACATTAGGTGGCGGCATCGGTATCACAAAAGGATCACTTCCCCTGTCAAAGTTCGGCCTAAAATACCCTTGAGACTCCCACCTAGCATCCAATAATCAAATCAAAAACATAGCTCAAAACAAAAACATTCAAAAATACGAGAAGTTGTAGTGCACTTTGAGATTCAACCACATGCCAAATAACTAGAAAAACGTATACTCTTCAAACTTTGAACCCTTACAACTTAAAAGCCAACAGAAAACAAGGCAAACCAAGAATGAAATCACTAAGACTCAAAAATGCACCAAAACCGCCAGAACCAAATTTTGTATTAATACAAAACATCAAGGGATAAAAACTAAACAATTTTAAAGCACAAACTTATATCTCGCAAAGTTCTTCCGCGGCAGAAATAACATCCAAATAACTTTTTTATTTCGCCAAAACAGCATATCACTGATTTCAAAAGCATACTACCAATTGTATATGCGTTCTTCCGAAGCAAAGTCGAAGGACTTGGCAATCTCCGGAGATTTAAAGACACCATTTTCTTGTTCTGGCGCAACAGCTGAAACACAACAAAGGAACGAATTTCACTTTTACGTTAAACCAATCCTACTTCGTTGTAATGCAATAAAAGATAGAGTTATATAGAAGTAACAACCGAAGAGATAATGCAGTTGGAAAGAGGAGGAAGAATTAGGTGAAGAGAACCTGAAAGGTTACGGGGAGTGCGAGAGAGAGGAATGCGCCGACCATGAGGGAAGAAGACAAGAGAGTTGCGAGAAGAGAAGGGACCGAAGAGGCGAGAAGAGAAGGGACAGAAGAGACGAGAAGTAGAAGAAGAGCAATACGAAGCTGATAGAGAGAGCATCGTGGACATGGTTGACGGTCTCACTCACAGCAGCAACGGAAGAACCATTTGGCTAAGCAGCACAAGTGGATATGATGAGGAGAGGAAATGCCAAACCTTGCGGGATCAATAAATGGTACTATTATTTTTATATTTTTTTACTTATATTTTATATCACTATTTAACTTTTTAATCTTTTCCTTTTTTTACAAATATAAAAATTAACATTTTTAATAATTAAAATAATATTTTAAAAGTGAGTTGTCAACTGTATATTTAATATTAGGTTTAATCTTCTTGGACATTCCTATTTCTGTAGGATTTTCTCAAATAGGTCCTCGTATTGTAAATGCTCTCGATTAGGTTCCTTATTGTGAAAAATTGAATCAATTTAGACATCGCTGTTAGTTTCGTATTAACACCGTTAAAGGAGGTGACACGTGTCAGTTCGTGGTTTTTTTGAATTTTTAATTATTTTTTATTTATTTTTAATTTTTTTTAAAAAAAATTTAAAAAATGCCACATGTCAAACTGATATTGTGCCACGTGGCAATGACAGTGTGACATGGCACTGACAGTGCCACGTGTCATTGTCAGGCCACGTGTCATTGCATTAGTCTCAATTTGATCCCTGTATTTTTATTTTGTCTCAATTTAGTCTTAATTTTAAAAATTAAGCAATTTTGTCCCTCCTCAAATTCAAACAAAATTTAAATTGTATATAAATTTTAACTAATATTTTTATTAAAATTGATACTTTTATATAAATTTCCAAAGGAATTAGCTCATTGAACAAATTATTAATGTGAAATTTCACTTTTTTTTAAATAAAAAATTGGAGAAAGTTTTGGTGAAAACAGTAATTAAAGGTGGTTTCTTCTTTCATGATTTTCTATGGAAACTTTCACTACGAAAATTCACACCAACATGTTATGTCACTCTTTTTTTTAAACCCTTATAGGTATATTTAAATAACATAATTAACATTTATATGATTAAGTAAATATATATATAGTTAAACTTAATCTTGTTAAAAATATTTGACAAAAATATCGATTTTAATAAAAATATTTGTTAAGATTTATATACAATTTAAATTTTGCTTGAATTTGAGGAGGGACAAAATTGTTTTAAAATTAAGACTAAATTAAGACAAAATAAAATACAGGGGTAAAATTGAGACACAATAAAAATACAGAGACCAAATTGAGACTAATAGAATGACACGTGGCCTGACAATGACACGTGACACTGTCAGTGTCATGTCACACTGTCATTGCTACGTGGCACAATATCAGTTTGACATGTGGCATTTTTAAAATTTTATTTTTAAAAATAATTAAAAAATTCAAAAACACCACAAACTGACACGTGTCACCTCCTTTAACGGTGTTAGTACGGACGGAACTAACGGCGAGGTCTAAATTGATTCAATTTTTCACAATAAAAGACCTAATCGAGAGCATTTATAATACGAAGATCTATTTGAGAAAATCCTACAGAAATAGGAATGTCCGAGATGATTAAACCGTAAAGATAATATAAATGAACGTAAAAAATTTAGGTATCTCAAATAATTATTACTCTAATCTTATAATCTTGTATCTAACATTAAAGAAGCGGAACTAATTGAGATTCCACAGTTATTCAATATATTTTTTTACTGCATATTAAATAAAGCTACAGATAATTAAAAAATAGAGAATTAAAATTGCATGCTACAGATAATTAAAAAATAGAGAATTAAAATTGCATGAGGGATGAAATTATGGATACTTAAGAGACTAAAATTGTGGGGGGAAATTAAGGAGAAAAATTGTAGATTTTATAAGATTGAGGCCAGCAAATAGTGGTTTCGTGTTCAAAATGGAGCTGTTCTTAATCCACTTCCATCTTCTATGATGAAATTCATGGGATCGTTGAAAACTCTAACTTCATTCTTGTCATAAATAAGCCACCAGTATCTACCTAGAGAAGAGTATACTCAGCTATATGAAATACGAAAAATCAAAGCAAGCTTTTTGTGTACATCCGAATTATTATCATTTTGAAGTTTTATCTTTCACATCTTTAAAAACCATCTTAAAAGATGGAAGAACAAAAAAATATATAAACTATTTTAGCTCTGGACTCTTATAAGACTATTGACATAATAGAACACTTTGGAAAATAAAAAGAAGTTTGAAATTAAAGCATTGCAATGATGGAGATTAAGTTTAGGTATGATATTAATTTCATGGTGCTTAGGTTTAGGTTTGATTATTGATAGATGTATTGTATGGTGATATAATCAAGTACCAAATTTTTGGGAGTATTATTTCCTTTTGTTTATTTTTTTTAAGCTCTGATAATTTTGAAGACTGCCATGTATAGCACATTCATCAAATCAAAATGCATTATGACTATTTGTTTGTTTTCTTTTCAGATAATTATCTAATTAAAGTTTGTTGGGATAAACTTAAATTTTAGGGATTCATTAAAATTTTGATAGAGATAAAATAGATATAGGTAGTTTTGATTTTCCTTTTATTTACGAAAGTATTATTTTATTTTATTAATATAAGATAGAGATAAATTAGGTAAATTTTATTTTAAGTTAGTTGATATTCTATTGTTAGTTTTATTTATTTGTACTTGGCCCCCCTATTTGCACCTATTTAAAGGTTGTCGAGGTTCAATGAAAAATAACCCCAGTGAATTGAAGAATATTATTATTTATGTGGGTCACGTTTTTCCCAACAAAGCCGATGATTTCTCTTTGTGACTGGCTCAGACGAGTATAATGATCTCTATACCAAAAGTCTTCCTGGCAAAGGGTATCCAGGTAAGACAGCGGTTGGAAAGGGCTACTCGTAGTTGGGGTTTGTTGGGAATGCTTCCGCTGGAAGGAGAATTTGAAAATTTGAAGGAGAAAGTGGTAGATCAACTCGGCAGAAATGGAGAGTCGTTGCCTGCCAGTCGAGTTGTGGAGAAGAGTTTGAAATCATTGATAGATGATTTCGAGAGTTTTGTGTGCGTCGTCGAGGAGTCGAAAGACCTATCAAAGCTCATGGTTGAAGACTTTGATCAGGTTCTGGAGGCGTACCAGCAGCGGAGATTTTAGCCATTAGTTCAAGTGCTTCAGGAAAAGTTTCACCTGAAGGGGAGCCTATTGAAGGAAGGAAGTGTTGTGAAAAAACGTGACTCACATAAATAATAATACTCTTCAATTCACTGGGGTTATTTTTCATTGAACCTTGGAAACCTTTAAATAGGTGTAAATAGGGTCTTAGGCCAAGTACAAATAATAAAAGCTAACAATAGAATATCAACTAACTTAAAATAAAATCTACCCACGAGACTCATACCATGCTCATATTCCTCAACTCATATTATACCATTACAAAATCTCCCCATAACNAACCTCAAGTGTCACAAACATGGCATGGCCCATGTGCAGAGAACCAGTAACATTAGGTGGCGGCATCGGTATCACAAAAGGATCACTTCCCCTGTCAAAGTTCGGCCTAAAATACCCTTGAGACTCCCACCTAGCATCCAATAATCAAATCAAAAACATAGCTCAAAACAAAAACATTCAAAAATACGAGAAGTTGTAGTGCACTTTGAGATTCAACCACATGCCAAATAACTAGAAAAACGTATACTCTTCAAACTTTGAACCCTTACAACTTAAAAGCCAACAGAAAACAAGGCAAACCAAGAATGAAATCACTAAGACTCAAAAATGCACCAAAACCGCCAGAACCAAATTTTGTATTAATACAAAACATCAAGGGATAAAAACTAAACAATTTTAAAGCACAAACTTATATCTCGCAAAGTTCTTCCGCGGCAGAAATAACATCCAAATAACTTTTTTATTTCGCCAAAACAGCATATCACTGATTTCAAAAGCATACTACCAATTGTATATGCGTTCTTCCGAAGCAAAGTCGAAGGACTTGGCAATCTCCGGAGATTTAAAGACACCATTTTCTTGTTCTGGCGCAACAGCTGAAACACAACAAAGGAACGAATTTCACTTTTACGTTAAACCAATCCTACTTCGTTGTAATGCAATAAAAGATAGAGTTATATAGAAGTAACAACCGAAGAGATAATGCAGTTGGAAAGAGGAGGAAGAATTAGGTGAAGAGAACCTGAAAGGTTACGGGGAGTGCGAGAGAGAGGAATGCGCCGACCATGAGGGAAGAAGACAAGAGAGTTGCGAGAAGAGAAGGGACCGAAGAGGCGAGAAGAGAAGGGACAGAAGAGACGAGAAGTAGAAGAAGAGCAATACGAAGCTGATAGAGAGAGCATCGTGGACATGGTTGACGGTCTCACTCACAGCAGCAACGGAAGAACCATTTGGCTAAGCAGCACAAGTGGATATGATGAGGAGAGGAAATGCCAAACCTTGCGGGATCAATAAATGGTACTATTATTTTTATATTTTTTTACTTATATTTTATATCACTATTTAACTTTTTAATCTTTTCCTTTTTTTACAAATATAAAAATTAACATTTTTAATAATTAAAATAATATTTTAAAAGTGAGTTGTCAACTGTATATTTAATATTAGGTTTAATCTTCTTGGACATTCCTATTTCTGTAGGATTTTCTCAAATAGGTCCTCGTATTGTAAATGCTCTCGATTAGGTTCCTTATTGTGAAAAATTGAATCAATTTAGACATCGCTGTTAGTTTCGTATTAACACCGTTAAAGGAGGTGACACGTGTCAGTTCGTGGTTTTTTTGAATTTTTAATTATTTTTTATTTATTTTTAATTTTTTTTAAAAAAAATTTAAAAAATGCCACATGTCAAACTGATATTGTGCCACGTGGCAATGACAGTGTGACATGGCACTGACAGTGCCACGTGTCATTGTCAGGCCACGTGTCATTGCATTAGTCTCAATTTGATCCCTGTATTTTTATTTTGTCTCAATTTAGTCTTAATTTTAAAAATTAAGCAATTTTGTCCCTCCTCAAATTCAAACAAAATTTAAATTGTATATAAATTTTAACTAATATTTTTATTAAAATTGATACTTTTATATAAATTTCCAAAGGAATTAGCTCATTGAACAAATTATTAATGTGAAATTTCACTTTTTTTTAAATAAAAAA